TTTTAATTGGTTGTTCAAAACATTACAAAGCTCTTGACATATCATATTTCATACATTAGATTCAAGTGGGTTATGAACTCCCATTTTTACTCCAAATACAGATTGCAGAATCACATCGGTTACACATCCACATTGAAGTCTGTTTTTAATTCATCTTGAAGACATTAAACTGTCCCCATAGATCTTTTGGGATTTGTGTCAAGGAAATAGATGTATGGAATACAGCTGAGGGTCTCTGGCACCCTCTGTCCCCAAAGAAACTAAGTCACCTTCTTCCCCTGAATTCTGAAGATTCCTTTTGGGCAGCAGAGTTTTCTTAGACTCCCATCGATATACTATGACCCTTGGGGAAATAGTTACCCTTTTTGTACCTCAGTTGACCTGTATAAAATAAAAATTATGTTATTCAAGATTTACAAAGAGTATTTTGAAAACAAAAATGTTCTAAATGCAAAATGTTATTCACACTTCTTCAAAGATCCCACACGTGTCCAGTGGTCCCAACAATTAACAGCCAATCTTCCTGAATGTCACTGTTATGTGCTTAGCATTGCAAAAGGGGTTATGGAAAATTACGAAAGGGTAGCATGTGCCTGTGCTCCCGGTGGCTTGGGGGGATGAGGCAAGAGGATCACAAGTTCATAGTCAGCCTCAGCAACCTAGCTAAACTTTGTCCCTAAATAAAATACATTTTAAAAGGGCTGGGGATGTGTCTCAATGGTTGAGCACCCCTGGGCTCAAACTTTGATACCAAAAAAAAAAAAATTGTAAAACTAAAAGATGTGGTTTATAGACTAGACCTCAAGGAACTTACAGACTGCGAACATTAATCCTGATTGACCTAATCCTAAAGAACATACAAACTATGAGTTCAGAGGAAAGATCTACTGGAGTTAGAGGAGCAGAGAGCTTTACGTTGACTAGGCTGAGATTGATTAGGCCACAGAGAAGTGTCGCAGGTTTCCAACCTTGGAAAAAACCTGAAACAAAGCTACTCAAGGGAAAATGGTGTATTGGGTTTAGGAGGCATCAAGGAAAATGGCAGATTGGACCAGAGAGTGTTAAGGAATGAGAGAGAACAAGTTGGGGTATGGAGGGACAAAGAAGCTGCAGGAGGAGGGTTCCAAGAGGTAAGCAGCTGAGTCACCCCAAAGAAAGGACACACCAAAATAAGTTGCTCCTTGCACCAACTATCCAGATGTCTGCACCCAAATACGCAACTGTCCAATTAACAAATTTGGTAACCTGCTGACGATGTAGTTGTGAGGAGAAAATTAGAATCTATTTCCAAATGTCTTGGAAACTACAATGAGGGAAATAGATGTGGCTCATCATTTTAATGCATTTTGTTAAATAATGATAACCCAGAGACAGAAGTAATCTTTCCCTCTTGAGTTTCTGAGGACACTAATTGTGGAAAATTATTCAGGAAAATGCATTTTTCATTCTAACTTACTATTTATAGATATACTGAATAAATAAAACATTTGGGAAAGCAAATAGTAGGGCTGCCTGCTTAGAAATTTTATGAATTTTGCTAAAAGATGGATCAATCAAATTGTAGGGTCAGCCAACTTCCCATTATCTTGAATTTTTTGGAGTCGGGCTTCTGGGGGTTTTTGTTGTTGTTGTTTTTAATCTTTCCCCTAGTCTTTGAATGGCCGGCGCCAGGCCCATGCCAACCCCACTCATTAACTTGGTGCCATCAGTTTTAATGAAGCAGGAGGTTTGGCTAAGAATGGGGACCGCGAGACAGATGGATGACTGGACAATAATAGTGAAAAATGCATATTTATGGGCTTCTGCAAGTACAGATTATTGACTTAGTGTAGCTTAATGGATTCTATATTTTTCAAAATTTTCCCCTAGTCATCTTATAGAATTATTTTTCAATTCTTATATGAGCTTCAAAAGCTTTTTCCCCATGGTTCATAATGCCTGTTAAATTGCTGCAGTATTACATGATTTTAATGTACTATTTGTTTATTTATTTTTTGACAAGTGTCAGTTAAGATTTTTTAAAGTCTATACTGCAAGTAAAGCCAGTGGGCATGAAGTGAACCCTCAGTAAAACCTGGGCAGTTGTCAACAAGCATGTGTGGAAAGGTACTTTTGGTGCTATCACGGTATCCATCTCTGATCAGTGGGGACTTCTAAATGATAAGCTTATTTGTTAGTGTAGCCATTTCTCTAATAAACTTCAATTTAGTATATTCTCTAGGTCTGATATCATTCAATGTGAGCCTACTGTTTTCACCTCAATTTAGAATAAGCTAGCTTCAAGCAATTCTGCCCTAGACCAGAGACATATGGACAGAGAAAACTGGACAGAGAAAATCCAGGAGCATAGCCGCTCTCCCATGTGGACCATTGAAGGGAGTCATCTATGAGTATAGCAAAAGACAACTTGGGAATATCTCTTTGGGGTCTGAGATCCTCAGCTCACTGCTAGATATAATCAGACAGCAGATTCCTGGCCAAACTAATAAAAACCTTCAGGTTTAAGGCTGAAAATAACTTTGTCATAGGAATGCCTCAGTGGTTTTCAAACTTGACAGGTGTAATTGAAATGGATGCTGTAATAATATGGGAAAGTCTCTGGATGTTGGGTTAACAGCGCTATTTCATCTGTTTGGTCCCATTAGAGTTTCCATCAGGACTTCCCTGAGGAAGCAGAAATACTCTCTCTGGCAGCGTCGAGCTGGGATATACTATGTATTCAGGACTAGGAAAGCATGGCTGTATGGAATATTGCTTTGGCAAACTGTAGCCCACAGGCCTCTTAAAGTTGCTCACCGAGTGCTTTCCTTGGTTCCAAAGTCTCATTTTTGAATGAACAGCCATTTCAGAGGCTTAGGAACCAGGCCTGCTTGTGTTGAAAGGGGGAAATCTTATTCCTTCTAGGATGGAACATTCCAGGAGTGATTTTTTCAAGTCTCAACATTATGCTCTTACAACATCATTGAAACCAAGTCAAGGTGAAGTGAAGACATTTAAATGGAAATATTTATTTTCTTAAAATAGAGCTTAGTTTTCCCTCTCCAACTTTGAGAAGGAATCTGGGGAGGAAAAGAGACAAGATAACAGGAGAAGTTTGACATTCATTACACATCCCGGGGAGTGTGTGCAAAGCATCCTTGGTCCAGTTCTGGTTCAGGAAACTTCACATCCTTTTTTCCACTCAGATAGTTCTCTGCCCTCACAGTGTTTCTTCCAGCCTTGCCTAAGGAGGAGGGGAAGCAGGAACAACAGAAAGAAATGTGACCATCCAAATATTCTTATACTAAAAGTCCATAGAGAAACTTGGATTCCCCAAGTGGGTGGCCTGATGAGCAAGGTTCACTGGAAACATTACCTCAGTGATGACAGCAAACCCTACCTGAGCAAATGGCTCATGCTTAACCCCAGAGAAGAAGTTCTCTGCTGAGTTATCATGTAAAAGACATGCAAGAGCCATTCTCTCATTGATGCTCATATTCAATTCCTGTAAAATGTTACTTTAGCCCTCCAAAATCTTATCCAAATCTGGAGAAAAATCAAGTTTCCTCTCCTTGGCTATGTTGACTGGGCGAGCCTTTTCCTGGTTCACATTAGAACTTATCTCCATTATTTGGGACATCTTCATGTAAAAATGCAAGCTTCCCTGGCTCAGTGGATCTCTCCTTCTTGCACTCGTCCCTGCTACTGTGTTCCCTGAACACCCACCCACACACTGATGGAGAAGAGTCACTTAACAGTGTCGGACCAAGCTGCAGAGGCCGGTTTGCAAAGCCCACCACAGTCGTGATGAACAGACATACTCTAGATTTTGCCCAGGGAAGCCCAAGTCTCCTAGGGAAAGGCTCTTACCAATAGTCCATCCCTTGAGTCTCTTTAGCAATTTTCTTGGCACAGATAATTGCATCTGTGAGATCATCAGTGATTAAGGCTGCAAAAAGAGGAGATATAAGGGTCAGCTGAGACAATTTTTGGAGGGGGAATTTACATCAGGTTTTCTTCATGTTCCTCATTGTTTTTGAAACCAGAGAGTTGGAAGAGCTATGGCTTCACCTACAGAGCCATGTTAATGTTCTGCTTCTTCACTGATGAAATACACAACCCCCCACCTCCAACATAAGATCATACCCATTTTGGGTTGCATAAAATTTCAGAAGGATTTTGGGGAAATGTTTTAGAGACGACAAAAGAAGAGAATTTTGTTGTTGTTGTTGTTTTTACATCTTAATGAAACACACAAGTAAGAGGGGACAGTATCACATTTTCTCTATTCAAGTTAGTCTGACATGTAAGAACTCTTTATAGTTAAAAATTAAACCTTTATCTATTGCCATTTAGATTTTTTTTTTCAAGGTGTCTTCCACATGCAGGAAACTTGAAGTTTTAAACCAAATGCACCAATCTTTATTGTTTTATCCATTGCTCCAAACAAAACAAATCTTCAACAGACATGTATGCATTGAATTCAGTATTCATTCCTCCTTGCCTGGAAGAGGTCTCAAAATCCTCAACATAAATATGACAGAGAAAGTCAAATAAATGTAAAAAGTTCCACATTACATCTGTTGGAAGCTGGATTCTCCAGGGGCAGAGGCTGGGATGGGATGGCGGTGCAAAATATTTATTAGATATTCACACCTGTGAAAAAAATAAAGAGGAAGCAGGACCAGGCAGGGGGATATGTCCACTTGTGATAGGAAATCAATGAAGCTAAAGGCAACCTGGTCAGGAGCCCTGGTGTGAGTATCGCCCATCTGAGTTGCTCATGTGGGACCCAAAAGGCTGTGTCTCGATCCCTCTGCCTCCCTCAGTCCCAGTGTGCGCTCCCCACCTTAGCTGAGGGAGCCCTCTGCAGCTAAAACAGACCCCAAAGAAGGTAGTAGGTGCACTGTCTGCTCATCACACAAATGCAGCTGGGGCAATGTGTCTTTCCTTAGAGTGGGACCATCGTTAGGACCCCCATGACTGCCGATCAAGAACAGGAAAATCCAAAATCCAACTTGATATCATTTTAATTTATCAATTAAGCCAAGTTTTTTTTTTTTAAAGAGAACTAGATAATGATTAATGTTGCCAAGGGTGCAATGAGAAAGGCACTCCAGAGTACTTGCTGGTGAGAAGATGATGGGTCCAGCTTTTCAGAAAAAGCAATGGAGCAGCTGACAGTAAAGAGCCTCAAAGAGGTTCCTATCCTTTCACTACTTATGTCCTTTTTTGAATCAATCCTAAGAAAATGGGGACTCTAGACTAAGATTTGTTTCTAAAGTGGTTTGCTTGTCATTTTATTTATACAAGTTCGGATGGAAAAATCTAATTACCTCATACTAAGTTGTTGATTAATAAAAATTACTTCATATAATGAAATAAGGAATGATCAAAATCAGGTTTTCACAGGAGGGTTCCTAATATAGGGAAAATGTTCCCAAGGTGACATTAAATTGCCAATATTGTAATAATATTTGTTGAAGGTTACACTACCTAATATGTTAGCCACAACCACATCTGACTGTTTTAATTTAACTTATTTCCATTCACAGATAAATGGATAAAGAAAATGGGGTGTATACTGGAATCCTATGCAGCCATGAAAAGAAGGAAATCCTGACATCTATGACAACACGAATGTTGAACCTGGAGGACATTACACTAAGTGAAAGAAGTGAGACACAGAAAGAAAAATACTGGTGACCTCACTTGTAAGTGTAATCCAAAAAGTTGAACTTATAGAAGCAAAGAATAGAACAGAGGTTGCCAGGGGCTGGGATTGGGGGAAATGCATTGTTGGTTCAAAGTTACCAACTGTAAATTATAAGGTGAATCAGCTCTGGAGACCTAATGTGCAGCGGTGAGGACTGTGGTTAATAATACTGCACGTACTGTATACTTGAAGTGGTGAGTAGATCTTAAATTTTATCTCACAAACACACACACACACACACACACACACACACACACGGTAACTATGGGAGGCGATGCATATGTTAATTAACTTGATTTTAGTAACCATTTCACAATATACACAGACACCAAACTATCACACTGTATACATTAAATACTTAGAAATATATAATGTCAATTATTCCTCAATAAATCTGGAAGTAAATTTTAAAATAATACATTATAAATTTAATTAACCTTAAATACAATTAATTGTATTTAAGGTTAATTATTTATTTAAAAATGCCATTTCCTCAGTTGCTGTGGCTACACATTTCATTTGCTTTATAGCCCCTCATAGCTAGTGTTTCTCATGTTGGACAGTGCAGATGGAGAATACTGCCATCATTACAGAAAGTGCTAGTGGAAAGCACTGGTTTAGGGAAAAAAAAGATATCATAAATTTACAGTATTTTAAGGATTAGCTCTTGTGAGATCATTAATACTCTTAAATTTTTGCTGTGTATTTTCTAAAAGATTTCTACAATAGAAATACATTATTCTTATTATCCTCCCAAAAGAAAAACCTCAAAGAAAAATATCAGCCTAAAATTTTGCATTTCAGTAGAGCACTGCAATACCAAATTATTCTGTGAACTTAGTTAAAAGTGGAATTTTTCCTTGGGCATACTGGATTAGTTAAGCAAGGCTTCCTGCATATAGGATACTATAAGTTAAGGAAGTTGATAATAATATAAACATTTTTATGTACCTATAAGCAGATTCAAATTTGTTTGGCAAGGGATACAATTCAGATTACTTAGAAATACTGTATTTTTCATGCACTAGCACCTGATCGGTGCTGAGATACTGTAGCTTGTGTTTAGAAATGGTTGGGCATAAATCCTAGGAAAAGGAGGATCAGTGAGATCTCAAGGAGTGGAAAGGACACGGATTAGAGTCAGTGAAGCAGCAGCAGATTGTATTCTGTTATTCCAGGACTGGAGCACATCCCATGCGCTTATGCCAAGAGCAGGGTCTGGACTTGGAGCAAAGCAGTTTGCTTAGCTGGAGACGCCCTGTAAGGATTCAGGGGAGGCTGCGGGGATGCAGACCCAGGAGGAGAACACCACAGTGTGAAGGTTTTTTTTTTTTTCAGTGTCCAATTTTGTTATAGCATTTCATTATTCAAATGATATTGTTTAAAAATGCTACTCAGGTTTGCCTGAATTTTCTTAGGAATGTGAATTAAGAAGATGGAAACCAGGAAATGAACCTAACACAGTGCTGAGATGTTAAAACACAATGAAATCGCCACAGAGGGGCAGCAGAGGGGCAGAAATGAGCTCAGACAGCAGGTTTTTATAAGGATTCATGCCAGTAATTGTTTTTGCTCAATTTACTTTAAATAGACAATTCTGCCTAGTCAAAGATGAATAAAGAAAGGGTTATGCTGGAAAGCTAAGTAGTATTAGAGAGAATGGTTTATTCTCCCACATCTAACAACAGAAAACAGCAACAATCTATTCAAAAAGAACTACTTTTTTTTTTTCAGTTAACTTAGTTCTATTTCAAAATCTGTCTCTCCCCAGCATCCTCTTACCTCCCAACCAAAATATAGTTACCCTTCCCATGATTTATAGCTCTTTCTCCTCTCAAAAGTCACAAAGGCCAACTCTTACACCACACTGATAAGAAATAAGATTAAGGTAAGTGGATGAGATTACATAGATGAGTCAGTAATCTCCTCCTTTTTTCTAAATATCTCTTATTTTAACAAGGCCTGTGGCTGTTTGAAGAAAATAGAGATTGCCACTAGGCCAGGAATTTTGTAAACTATGTGTACATATATTTATGTGTGTTTACATATGCATGTGTACGTGTTTAATTTATACATATGAATATTGGCTTAGTCTGTCTTCTGTGACTATAACCAATCACCTGAGACCAAATAATTTATAAAATAATAGTTTATTTGTCTCATGGTTCTGGAGGCTGGGAAATCCAAGAAAAAGGTGCTGGTATCTGCGCAATATCATGTGAGGGCCTTCCTACTGAATTATAACAAGGAGGAGGGCATTATTACATGGTAAGACAGAGCCAGCATGTCAGCTAGGATCCCTTTTCCTCTTATGAAGATGCTAATGCCATCCTGGATACCCATCCTCATGATCTCACTCATCTCCCAATACCACTCATCTCCCAATACCACTCATATATGAATTACATTGGGAAACACATTCAAATCATAGCAAACATAGCTTTTTAAATATCTGGCTAAGTAGTTTGAAGAAGGTAGATAGGAATTTTAGGAATACAATTTGGAGTGGGAAGATATATCAGAAATGGGCATGAGGTGCTTATATACTATCCATACATTGATGCCGCCATTTCTTATAAACTTACGCTAATGCTAACTTGTTTTCAGGTTTCCATGACCAATATACCTACTTCTGTAATACATGGGATGAAATGACATTTTCATAACTAAAGAGTCTCTGGCCTGAGGCTAAAAGAGATGTGTCTCTGAGAGGTGTTTAGGATAAAAAAAAAAATCCAATTTATTTTTTTTTTCTGTTTTAGAACTGTCCCTAAAAATTTCATATTGTTTATGACAAGAAAACAGATACGAATGTTCTTACCCTTCAAACCATCAGACACTTTAATTTCCTAGAACCAAAGACCATCTTGCAGATGTTAGGTAATAAAGAAGATCATCTAGCAAGGATCATCTTGCAGATAAACATTTTCTCCAAGCTTCCTTCATTGGGAATTACACTGAACCAATGATAAATTAGTAAAGTGCATGTAAAGTCAATCATGTCCATGATGGAGTAACTGATTTTCCTCCTGTCTGGACACAGCTAGAAAATTGGAGAGAAATCTATGAAAAGAATATTTTCAGATATTGAACAACTGACAGTGCAGAGTCATGAGAGAGAGAGAGAAAACAAATGAGGTGACTCTTGGGTTTGCCAGGACTTGCTGCTCAGAGGAGACCCAGGAGGTAGAACCAGGCAGGGGAGGGCATACTAGGTGGAAACAGAGGTCAGAGGCCATGGCACATGGGATTTGTGGAGAAGATCTTTACAAAGCTTCTCAGTAAAAGAGCATGGGAAACCTGATAGAGATACCACGGAGCCTGTGGCTGAAGGCTCACTGGGGTATGTGAAGGTAAGGTTCCATGAGCCTAGGCAGAGCCCAAGGACGGGAGGTGGACAATTACAGCGCTCTCACACAGAGCTGGGGGATGTTTGATTTCTGAGGAGCTAGAGGGAGGAGACCTTCCTAAACCCTTAGAGCATGCAAAAAAGACACCCAAGAAGAGCCATGTTTTGGATAGTAGGACCTAACTATCCATACTGTGAGGACTACTCTAGGATTTCTTTAGTGAAGTTTAAGGGCTTATCAAAATAAAATTCAGCTGGGCTGTCAAAACAAAACAAAACAAAAAAGGCTGGGGATGTGGCTCAGTGGTTAAGCACCCCTGGGTCAATCCCCAGTATCAAAAAAAGAAAACTGATTCCCCATCGTTAATCAGGCAAGCCAAGAACAATGGACATCTTTAACAACTTGAGAGGAAAATAAAGCCTATCAGCATAGAATTTATACATATTAAAAAAAGACCCTCAAAAAAGAAAGTGAAATAGAGACATTTTCAGGAGGCAAAAGCTGAAAGAGAACTTACCGGTAACGACAACCAAATAGTTAAAAGAAATTCTTTAGGCTGAAAGAAAATAAAATCACTGAACTACCTGTCCAAATGAATCCACCCCCACAGGAATTAGCAGAGTTGGAGATGATAAATATGTGACAAATAAAATGAAATCACACTTATCTAGTCGCCATTTTTAATTTGCAAGTGCCTGCTGGCAATTTCTATGCTAATGAGATTGACCCAACAGAGAGGGGATGAAAAGTCACCCAGTAGGAAGACACCTTTGGTTCAGCAGATTGGAAACTGGAGACCCCAGCATTTGCAGATACTTAATAAAGTTCCCATGTATAAAAAGGAACAAATTTGTTTTGACCAAATCCAGAAGGAAAAACTGAGATTTAAAGGAAGAAAGGGACGAGGAGATAGATTTTGGCTCCCAAAACGAGTGTTCTAATTAAGGGTTGATCAATACTCTTATGATCTGCCTCGGGAGGTCATGACTATTCTGCATTAATGTAGGAGTAGGAACAATTCCTAGATAAATTAATGTATGGTTCAGTCATTCATACACTCAAACCCATGAACTAATGATCTTATATGTGGCAAGGAGAAATTAAAATACAATTCATTTCCCGTTCCCAAAGAATTCGCCATAAAATATTTTATGACTCTCTGACTTTACCCTTGTTCCTCATTCTTTATTCGCATCAATATTTATTGAGCACCTATAATGGCCAACCACCATTGTAGGCTGTGAGGATGTATCAGTGAATGAAATAGACACAACTCCTTGCCCCCATGGGACTCCCATTGTAGTGAGAGAGGAAGCAAGAACATCATCGTCTGAACTCTTTCTGCCTCTTGAGTGGCTCTTATATTTGTCCCTTCTTCTCCATGCTCCCAGCCATAACCATCTTTCAGTTGCAGTGCCATTTCGCTGGCTGCTTCTTTAATCTATCTTATGCCCTTGTAGGCAGATGAATCTTTCTCGTAGGCAGGGCTTCCTTGTCTAATCTCTCTCTGCTTCCTATTGCAGGAAGAAGTCAGTACAAGCTCCTCAGCCTGGCTTTCAGTGCCCTACAGGATCGGGTAGCATTTCCAACCACGCTTCCTGGAGTCCTCTCCTCCATTCCCTTTATTCCAGTTGAGGAGAATGTCGCACGACTCCAGACCGTACCCCAGCCCTTCCCACTTGTTGCTCTTATCATTTGGTTTTTCCCTTTGCCGAGAAGGACTCTTTTCTAACTCTGAACACCCAATTCTTGTCTTTCTTCCAGTTCCAGGTCAAATAACATTTTGTCTCCAGAAGCTTCCATGATTTTCTCAATGTCACTTTCCCATGAAGCCTACAGCCATCAATCCATACCTGTTTACAGTTATTTCTTTAACCCTGTGTAAACACAGATTCTCTTTTCTCATTGCCTAAAGCCTTTGTAAAACAGGACTTGTGCCCAAAGCATCTTAATATCTTCAACGCTGTACGCACAAGTCTCTTGACGGACTGAAGCAGAAGAGTCAGAAGTGAATTCTGGTTTAAGTTCCATTGTTTAAGACATGTTGAGAGCATTCATTTGTTTTATTCCACACAAAGAAGCTCAAGCTACCTTCTTGGGGAGAATTGTTCATGAAAGGAGCTGGCAAAGACCTTTCTCTTTCTTACCCAAAATATAGGATGTCTTTATACAGGAAATGGCAGAACTCTAGTTTATCCATTCCCTAGATTTTGTGCAGGGCTTATTAAAAAGTATCTTAGAAAGAATAAGTCATCTTAGGACCAGTAGGTCACAGGGTCTTCAGTGACATCTTGGGGGACTAGTGAATAATTTACCAGCCTTGGTAAATTATTGGCAAATCTGAACTCCAGATTTTTTAGTTCAAGTGGAATATGAGTGGCTGTTCTACCATCAGCTTTCCTGCCTTTGTCTAGGAGGATATTTTTGGAAAACCAAAACTGTACCTGAGCAGGCAACATGACAGTGGTTCTTCTCCTGCAGCTTTGCATCTCTGCACCACGTGAAACTATTTATCTGAAAAATGCCATAGTCAATGCTGCCATCATCCAGGCCAGTCTGAGCTGTGGTGTTGTAGCGGCTCTCATAGTATGCCATGCAGATCCCTGCGGAGAGAAATGTCCAGACAGGCCAGTCGGGGAAATGCAACGGCATCTAATCACCTCCTCCTGGTAGACCTTGGGGGAGGGGGCAGGGAAGGTGGTATATTGGTGGGGTACATGAATGGCTCAGGGGGTGCAGGGATGCTGCACTTGAAGCTGCACACCCAGTCAGTGGCTGAGCCCAACCTATCCCCAAACCCAGGTCCTCCTCACCCCATGCCAGTAGGGGAAAATACATTATTTTCCCCTTCCCTTGCTGACATAAATACAGGCCTCCAGGAACAGGGAGGGGAGGAGGGAGAGGAGGCCGGGAGGGAGAGCAAGCAAAGAATCTGTGATGACCAAGCAGTCACCTCCAGGAGGGGCAGAGCATAAAAACCCTGGGTGTAAACAGAAGGGAGTGAGAATGGCACCTGCAACATCTCAGAAGAGAGGTCAAGGATAGAAAGAGAATAAGGATGAAGAAATCTCACAGTTTCCCAGGCTAAAGCCCTGGTAATTGTCCAGACCGGCCCTGGCAAATACTTTTGCCAGTTTGCAGCGAGTGTAGATTTTGGAGTCTGTGACTGTGACCAGACAGCCAATCAGGGACAAGATGCCAGCAGCCTTCATCCCCAAGGCTGTTGGAGGCAGAACCTGTCAAAGATCAGGAAACCAGTTAGACAATTTGGATTGATTCTATGATCCCCTCTGTCACCAAGAGGAACTTTCAAAACCTAGTAAAAGAATAAGTCATCTTAGGACCAGTAGATCACAGGGTCTTCAGTGACACCTTGGGGGACTAATGAATAATTTACCAGCCTTGGTAAATTATTGGCAAATCTGAACTCCAGATTTTTTAGTTAAAGTGGAAAAGGAGTGGCTGTTCTACCATCAGCTTTCCACGGCCATGAACAGCTCTACCTAGGCACCTCCTTTCACTTTTAGTCGTTCAGAACTTCCATCCAGGGGAAAGAAAGAAAATTCAGGAAAGGAATAGGATTGCCGGGTCTTGTGCTTTCCTGCGCAGTTACTTTCGGGTCAAAGCTGTGTTCCTAGTATCTGACAAGCAAAGAAATGAACCCTCCTTCATTGACATTGGGTGGAAATCACAGGGGTCATTTCTAGCATCCCCATTTTCTATGAATAGGAAAAATATAGAATACAAAGTGTGAAGCTTTCCCTTTATTTGCAGAAACAGATGCCCCATTGCAGCCAGAGATGAAATAGACATGGGCCTGTGTGGACAACCTTTAGATTTATCATTTGGGGTTTACTGAAGGAAGAAGATCAAGTACCTTATCTCTATTCCATTCTCTTTGCTTGATGCCTTTCCAAATGTGGAAGTGCTGCTTCAAAAATGCCAGTCTTTTGCCCTTTATTGCAAATACAATGTTTCTTTTTTGGTTGGTGATGGGGCATTCCTTCACTACTGCCCCAGTGGGCCTGCAAAAAATTCTGGTGTCTGCTGGGTGAGGTGTATTCCCAGAGGCTTGGGAAGCGGAGGCAGGAGGATCTCGAGTTCAAAGCCAGCCTCAGCAATTTAGCCAGGCGCTAAGCAACTAGTGAGACCCTGTCTCTAATAAAATACAAAATAGGGCTAGGGATGTGGCTCAGTGGTCGAGTGCCCCTGAGTTTAATCCCTGGTATTCAAAAACAGAAACAAAACAAAAAAATTCTGGTGTCTGGTGAACAAGTGGGGAGAGATGACAATAGGTCATGAGAGAAAGGTGTTGGTTGGGTGGGAGGGTCCATAAAGAGACCCTTTATTTAAGATGAGAGTAGAACCAAGAGCTCCATCTGTTGCTGGCTACCAGTTTTCAACAAGATCTTCCTCCCTTGAAATAACATGTCTTCCCCAATATAATAACCTTGCTGCAAACGATAGGGAAGTGAAATGTCTGCTAACTGCTCAGGACACTACCTTGATATTCATGCAGCTTTTCATCTAAAAATATTTTCTGCACTTGGCTAGAAACTTCTCCAGTTATTAGTTTCCATCACTGGGACTAGTCTCCCCAGTTGAGCAGCTAAGCTATAAACAAGAATGAGTATTTTAAGCAAGACCAAACCAGGCAAATATAATATGCGCTTTAAAGTCATTGAGCAATAAGGTGACATATACTGTGAATAGCAATTGTCAGTAAACTGTTCCTGCTTTGGCAAACAAAGTTTTATTGGAACCTAGCTTCACTCATTTGGCAATAAAGGGTCTATGGCTGCTTTCTGCACTGCAATGGCAGTGTTAAATAGTTTGTCAGAGACCATTTAGACCACAAAGACTAAAATATTTATTATCTGGCTCTTTACAGAAAAAGTGTGCTAGTTCCTATATGCTAGTCTATAGCATCACATTAGGAACAGATAAATGCGGTTTAAGATACAGAGAGTATGAATAAAGTTAGTTTCCATCTCCTGCCTTAGAATTTTACTGTTCTTAAATATATCAAAACAAAATCCACAGCAATCCACACAGTAGCCCCAAGCATAATGTTCTACATCCTTCAAGCCAAGGTTAGGGTTATCATTGCTGTTCTTTGGGATAGGTGACTTCATCAAAGTAATTTTGGTCTTTTTGAAAAGGCAGATTCCTGGTGCCTGCCCCAGGGACTGATTTCTCAGTTGATCTGGTGGAAGAATCTGGACTCTACTTACTCAATCAGTGATTGGCAGCTCACAAGAGCTTCCTGCATCCCCTGAAGCCATTTCTGATTCTTGCCAGGTAAAAGTGATCCTTTTCTCACTCAAGGACCTTTCTCTAGAGCCTTAGAGAAAGTAGAATTCTTAACTTCTTTGTTTCCTGTCTCCTAGAGATTCTAGAATTCTGCCTTTAGGGACTTAAGGTTATAACACCACGTACTTTTGTGTTCTGAAGCCAATGTAACTACATTCTCTCTTTTTTCTTCTTCCTCTTTAAAAGTCCTCTTCACCCAGAATTTGGCCAGGGCCTTCCATACAAGTGAGAGATGACATCTAAAGTAGCAGTCTCCAAAGCTTATCACAAATCCCATCAATAAGGAAAGCAAAGCATGTACCAACAGCAGGTTGTGTATACTAAATCATAAATCATACGTCTGCACTTTTGTATTAATATGCTACGTAAACTATAAACATACAAAAACTAAAATTTGAAAAAATGAGATAGAGGTAAAATTAACATTGAAATTTTATTAATAGTACTTTATATTGGTACATGAAATTTAATTCTCCTATTGTAAACATTATAATTAATAATCTTGTGATATGTTATTTGTACCTTTGTTAGAGCCTGTAGAACAAATTCCCCAAAAATGTAATTGCTGGGTCAAAGCAATTGTATAATTTTTCTAGATATTGCCAAATTTCTTCTTCCACCTGAGCTCATATTAGGAAGATAGATCTCTCTCATCACTATTTGGCAGGCACACTGTTAATGAAAATTTCAATATTACCAATCTGAGAGATGAAGCATGGTATCTCAGCATGGTTTAAATTGTTACTTTGTTTATTTCAAGTTGACTGAGAATCTTTTCTGTTATATAGGAGACATTTATGGGTCTTCTGTGAAATGTCTACAATATGCTAACATGTATAGACTTAATTCTTTGAACACCTTTTTCAAAATGTTTGAAATAGATACTTTACTAGTCAGTCAAAAAATAAGAACAGATTAGGTGCCTTTTTCTTTTTCAAAAGCACATATTTAGCAAATTTGAAGCATTCAAGGTCAATATGCAAAAACCATTCATATTTTTAAAAATCAACAGTAAAACATATATTTGAGATTTTTTAAAAAATATTACACTCATACATAAAAGTCAAGTACTTAAATTTAAATATGTAGGATCTGTATGCTGGAAACTATAAAATAGAGGAAAATCAAAGAAGATCTAAATAAATGGAAAATACAATGTTCATGGATTTGAACATTTAATATTATTATGATTTGATCTGTAAGTCCAATGGAATTTGAGTCAAAATCCAAGAAAACTGTTTTTAAAATATAAAAAAAGATGATCCTAAAACATATATGGAAATCAAAGAGACAAGAAATAGTTAAAACTAGTCTTTAAAAAGCACAAAATTGAAAAATTCACTCTACCTGATTTTAAGACAATCTAAAGCTGTGATAATCAAGACAGGTTGGTATTTGTGGAAAGTGATACAGAGATCAATGGAACAGAATAGAGGTGCCAGAAATAGATCCACAGGTATGTAATCAACTGAATTTTTATAAAAATGGAAAAGTGATAATTTGTCCAATAAATGGCACTGGAACAACGACTGTATGTAGAATAACAACAAAAAGCAACAAAAATTTTAAAAGACACATGAAGGACACATACCTCATACTTCATATAAAAATAATTCAAACTAATCAAAGACCCAATATAAATAGCAAAACTACAAAACTTCTAGAAGTAAACATAGAAAATCTGCAAGATATTGGGTTTGGCAATGATTTTTTTTAGATGTAATAACAAAAGCACAATACATAAAGAAAAATAAAAAATTGAACTTGATCAAAATTATAAACTTGCTCCTTAAGAGACAATGTTAGGAAAACAAAAGACCAGCCAGTTTGAAGGAAATGTTTATAAATCACATGTCTAAAGGAAGCCTTGCATCCAGAAAACATATGTATATGTGGACACACACACACACACCTTAAAATTTTAATTTGAAATTTGAATTTAATTTTAATAAGCAAAAAAAAAAACCACAACCCGATTTAAAAAAAATGGGCAAACCATCGGAACAGACACTTTACTAAAGAAGCAGTACAGATGGAAAATAAACCTGATGAGATGAGCAATATCAATTGTCACTAAGAAATTATAAATTAAAACTGCCATTTTAATACCAATTAGAATTGCTAAAATTAATCAAACTGATAATACCAAATGTTGATGAAAACACAGAGCAGAAAAAAACATTCATTCATCAATGATGGGAATGTAAAATGGTACAGCCGCTTTAGAAAATAGCTTGCCAGTTTCTTACAAAGTCAGACCTAGACTTATCATACAAACAGCAACCACACTCCTAGCATCTCTCTAGGTAAATTGAAAATTTAATATTCACACAAAAACAAGTTAACCAATGTTTATGGTAAGCTTTATCAAACATCACTAAAATTCAGAGACAACAAAGATATTCTTTAGCATGGGAATATATAAACAAACTCTGGAATACAATGGAATATGACCCAGCAATAAAAATAGCAAACTAGTGATTCTCACAACATGGACATCTCAAATGCATTTTGCTAAATGAAAGAAGCCGGACCCTGGAGATATCATGATTCCATTTATGTAACAATATGGAAAAGGCAAAACTACAGTGATGGAAAATAGATCTGTGGTTGTTGGGGGTTAGCAAAGGATTTGAATACAAAAGGACCACGCGAGGGAAATGTTAGGTCAGTGGAACTGTTCTCTATTGTACTGGGTAGTGGGTACCTGACTTTGTGAATATGTCAAAACCTGTAGAACCATTTGCCAAGAGAATGAACTTCATTGTATGTATTTTTCTTTTTTTAATCAATCAGGATGCTGGGTGTTTTAGTTTTTTTTCATTGCTCTGACAAAAAGACCTGGCAAGAACAATTTTAGAGGAGGAAAAGTTTATTTGGGGGCTTATAGTTTGAGAAGTCTCAGTCCATAGCTGGCTGAATCCATGGCTCTGGGCTCAAGATGAGACCGAATATTAAGGAGGAGGAAAGCAGCTCAGGATGTAGCACCAGGAAGCAGAGAAAGAAAAAGAGAGAGGATAGGATAGAATATATACCCCAAAGGCACATCCCCAGGAATCCACTTCCTGTAGCTCCACTCTACCTGCCTGCACTCACCACCCAATTAATTCCTATCAGGGGATTATTATTATTGATTAGTTTAAAATTCTCATAGCCCAATCAGTTTAGTTCTAAACTTCATTGCGTCGTCCCACACATGAGCTTTTGAGATACACCTCACACCTAAACAGCAACACTGAGAGACCCCAAGATGGAATTCAAACTCTGAATTTGTTCACAGTTTGAATTTGTTCTATAAATGTATGGTGTGACCTCATTGAAGGGAAGGTGGGGGGAAGAGTTGATGATCTAGGTTACTTTTTTTTTTTCCTGTTTTTGTTTTTGTTTTTCTTTCTTTTTTTGGTGGTGCTGGGGATTGAACCCAGGGCTTCATGCATGCCATATAAGCACTGTACCACTGAGCCACATGCCCAACCCTGGGTAATTTTTGAAAAAAGATCTGTATATAAATATTGTACTTCAGCTGGTAAGTGTATTTCTTGCAAGGGTAAAGGGTAGTGCTTCTGAAAAATTACTTTTTTTTTTGTAAACTAAGGTTAAATAAATAAATTATAGATAATGGGAGCCAGATTTCACAGTCAGAGAAAGAAATTAGAAACAACCAAAAAAGGAAGATGAGTACTGTGGTGCTAGGTTAGAGTCAGAGCTATCACTACTACTCTATCAATTTATCTACCTATGCTCAAATGGATAGATACAGGAAAAATATGGATATTTGTGCATATGTGCATTAGTATATAATCTTTCTGTCTTAACTCTGCTAAGATGACCCAGACTCAGTGGCATCCCAGTGGCAATGAGTACGTTTAACACCCAGGACTTGATTCTCGTAACATTCTCCAACAAAAGGAACCAGGGCTCTTTGGAAAGCTGATTTTAAGAATAGGGCAGGGAAACATGTAAGATGAGCCTGGATCTTCTTGTTAGTGTAAAGAAACCAAGGAAGTGCTCAAAAAGAGGAGAAAAAGGAGGTGGTCCTAGGAGAGTTCAACACCCAAAGGGACACAAGAGCCAAACTGAAAGAACTCCTGGTGGCCAAGGCCGAGAGAGTCTGAGTGACAAAATAAATAACGACATGATTATATTACAGCACAGAGACTAAAATAAATACTATGAGTACATACTGTTATAAATGCCTGATAGAACAAATAAATATATGCAGAGAAGGGACAAATCTTACTTACAGAAAAATTCTAAATAATCTGTGCAGATTATTATTAAGCTCCAGGAAATGGAATTTAAGTCTCCTCCCTCTGAGTCAGGGCTGGACTTAGTTATTTGCCCTGAATGGATATGTGAAGTTGAAACGGTGACTTTAGGGTGAAGAAACCAGTAGACCTCACCTTAACCAAGTGATCAAGGTCAACCACATCAGTACCCCTGATACTGTGATGAGAAGATACTTCCCCCTGAGATTGTCTTCCAAGTCCATAACCCCACACAGTTCATGAGAAAACACTGGTGAAACCCCAAATGAAAAGACATCTATAAAACATACGTGTTCATGTCTTAAAAAGTGGGACTAAGAAACTCTTAAAGACTGGAAGAGACTAATAAGCATAATTAAGTACCATTTCCGACAGTGGTTGGGATCCTAGAATAGAAAGGGAACACTTAGAAAGGCTGGTGAAATGTGAGTAAGGTCTGTAGTAAGTACTTTGAACCAATGTTAATTTCCTACTTCTGACAAATGTGCTGATATGTGAGGTATTATGTAAGGGAAGTGGGGAAGTGTCTGTGGGGGACTTTGTTACTCTCTATGAAACGTTTCTGTAAATGTACAATGACTCCCAAATAAGTTAAAGAATCTGCTAGTTAGTATACTGCCCATATCTACTTATCACAGAAAAGGTGAACAAAATTGAAATACTTTATTATTATAAAATAAAAAAGATTCATCTCTCTGTTGGACAATCATTTTAACTACTTTGCTGGTGAGAAAATCCGCAAACAGGCAGCACAAATTGCTCTCCCCATTGTTGTGAATTTTTG